CGCGAGACTGCTATGTTTTTACTTGATGCTGGTGCTATCTCTATCTTGGCGCCAGCTGGAGCAGAGACTGTGCTGACGTGGCACTGGCCTCTATGCTGGCATAACGCTGGCTCATCGCTGGCGTGACGTTGGATGACAACGCGAGACTGCTATGTTTTTACTTGATGCTGGTGCTATATCTATCTTGGCGCCAGCTGGAGCAGAGACTGTGCTGGCGTGGCACTGGCCTCTACGCTGGCATAACGCTGGCTCATCGCTGGCTTGACGTTGGATGACAACGCGAGACTGCTATGTTTTTACTTGATGCTGGTGCTATCTCTATGTTGGTGCCAGCTGGAGCAGAGACTGTGCTGACGTGGCGCTGGCCACACTGTCTGCTACCGAGACTATGCTGACGTGGCATTGGCCATACTGTCTACAGCATTGATTGGGGATTGGCGAGAAAGGGGAGAATCAGGGCTGTGAGATTGGTTGATCGAAGGGAAGCTTACCTGTTGATGACGTGTCGACGTTGCGTGCTGCTGATCGTCTACACGAGGTATCTGCACTGGCAAGCGCTACAATGAGATCTGCTCTTGGTCAGATTGCATCAGAGGAGACTCTCTGCTGATGTGGCGAGGGGAGACGCCCGAAGAAGAAGAGGGAAACTGACGGAGTTCTATCTGTTATGCGGACGGATACTTTCTCTTCCACCCTCTCAGTCTCATCTCCCTCCCTCCATCCTCTTCTCTGGTGACCAGACATTGGGCTACTTGATGATGTACACGATTATTTGGATACATACATTGAGACCGCGCTGAGGCATTCTGTTTTTTTGACATTGACGTGCTTCTCTCCTGACTGGGTTCATTGCAAACATATAGTATACAGAACAAAATGAGATATCAGCCTCGACTTCGGCTGAGAATAGCAATTACACCTTTTTTTTCTAAGGGTCATGATGCATGAGCAATGACTACTAGCCTAGTCAGCAAGTTTATCGTTGTAGCCCAGTGATCGTTCCGCAGCCAGACGGAGTGGAATCAAACCAGTGACCTCGGGTATAACAGCCAGATGCCTTTACCACTGCAACTCGATTCATTTGTTCGAAACATGCACCGGAAGAAGAAAAGCAAAATTGGAGAAGAATTCAAATCTGGACTCTGGAGTAGATTTTTTTTTTTTTTTTT